TATGCCACACTAGAAAATGGTCTCTGGTAACAAACAGCCAGTAATATAATTGCTAATTGTCTTTTCACTGTCTCCTGTGGTGTCACTCCTTTACTGGCTGGACCAGTGAGCTGTCACTTTTTTAATGCTCCACCCTTGCTAGCATTTGAGATCTTGCAGCCATACATGTAGTGTGTTTTTTTTTTTTTACGAGACCATCTCCAAACACGGAAAGGTTTCTTTACAGTGAGAGCTGTGAAAATGTGGAATAGACTCCCACAAGAGTTGGTTCTGGCCAGCTCAGTGGATTGCTTTAAAAAAGTCCTGGATTCTTTCTTAGATACACAGAATATAACTGGATACTAACATTTATAGGAAACGTTGATCCAGGGAATATCCGATTGCCTTTCAGGGGAACAGGAAGGAATTTTTCCCTTGCAGGAGCACATTGGATTATGCTTTGCTGGTTTATTTTGCCTTCCATAGTTACATAGTTAGTCTGGCTGAAAAAAGACAAAAGTCCATCCAGTTGGATCATCCAGAGGAACGATCAACTGTAGGTATAGAATTATAACTTTTTTTTTTTAATGGTTGAACTGGATGGACTTTTGTCTTTTTTTTCAGCCAGACTAACTATATAACTATCAGCCTTCGATCAAATAATTTCAATCAATGTCTAAAACTATATTTATATATATTTTATATATTTATTAAGCCGATCACTTTCAGTGTAAAATGTTTACTGGAAGAAAACAAAAATTAAAAAATGAAAAGTGATCAATTCAGCAGTACTGGGACAGATTTGTCCAGTTCCCAGGCCAACACACACACACTTATCCAATGCATACCACAGAATGAGTATACCGTTCTGCGTTTATTCTCTGCCCCCTTGCTTTGTTGCACCTAGGGCAGCTGTCCCTCCTGCCCACCCCTTGTCCAGGCTCTGCATTTCAGAATCCATCGACCACTCCATGCACAATAAAATCATCTTGACAAAAATGGTTTTAGTCTTCAATTCAGCTCTGCAATGTTGATCAAACTAGATCAAATTGGCAGCAGAAACTAACAGACAATTGCTAGATGCAATCAGAGTACTGACACAATTATTTTATCGAAATAATATATGTGGTGCAGCTCTGACAAAAGTTAAGGGACAGAGACAGATAGGTGTTCAGTTATGGAAAGTATCTCAACATGTAGAAATGTATCTAAAATATGATCAGATCTTCTAAAACTTGTCATTGCTCTCTAGTCAACCCTTCCTAAGCCTGATTTCTGCAAACAATGCTTGAATATATTGCATTGCTTGCTTTTCATCTGGCTGTGTATGTACTCTACCGTTCTGCACTTTCCCATATCTTCCAAACTGCGTCCTCTTCTGTTGGACAGAAGCCCAGATAGACTCTTGTAGCCTCTACATAAAAGAAATATACAATCCATGTAAAGGACTGAAATCTCGCTGAGCTTTTGCTTTTTTTGCGCATAAACCCATAATGAGGCTCACACAAAGAGGGTTTACATATCGTACATTTCACCAACGGGAGATGTTCTAAAATCTGAATTCCTACAGTAATATGTCATCGCGGCTGTAATATAAACAAACTGGGTTTAGTTCTATTCTGCTGTGTTACTCAACTTATTCCCAGCAGAAGGAATCCAGAATCTTATCTTTATTAGAGTCATCTTGTTGTAAATGGTTGCATCCCACCCCAAAAGCACTAGATAACCTGAATGTCCACCTCAGCCTATAGGACTGATAGAAGCCTTCCTTACCAGTAGCCCCAGGGGTGCACTCTCCTCCCCATATCTGTCATGGCTCTGAAATCCACGTTCATGTCTCAGTATAAGTTCTCAGCTCCAGAACAGCAACCAACCGTTTGTGAACTTGATAGAAGTCTGTACTGGACCCCATCAACCTCCCTCCTCCTCATCCCTCCCTCCGCTGCCCTGTATGGAATGTAGAACTGTACAAGGGGATGTCTCCTCTAAGTGATGGAAATCCAGGTCATTAGCATGCTCTGGGCATTCCCTGGCCTCCTCCCATTCTTTTCATACAAAGAAAAACTATTCTCTAGTGATTGCTGTCATACACAGTGCAATATTTGTAGCTACTGACACGGAAATGAAAGGGTTATATAGGAGAATGACTCTAGGTGAGATGTCATAATAGAGAACATCTAAACAATCCCAAAGAACCCTTAAAGTGTAAGTTCCATCTAAAATAATATAAAGTTGAACTAACATAGTATACCCTTTCCCCCCTTACCCAGTCCTTGCTGTACTTACCTCCGTGGTGTGAGCTGTCAGTGGCCATGCAGCAGTGGTAGCGGTCTGGGAATTTGAAATGCCCACTCTTCTATCTCTTTTCTCTGCAGGGCTTTTGAGATGGATCAGAGCAATTTTGATTGGTCATCGCAGGCAGATAGAATCACTCTGAACCATGCTGGAAGCACAGCAGAGAGAAGAGCGGGGATATCCCTGGAACGGTACACTGGCTGCGTGGACAGTGACAGCTCATCACCCACGGAGGTAAGTACAGTGGGACTAGAGGGGTGGGGGCAGGGGCAAACTGAAAACTCATGGGGCCCCCGGGCAATAGGGGATCATGGGGCCCCTGGGCAATAGGGGATCATGGAGCCCCTGTGTCCTCGCCCACACTTAAACCACACCCAAAAAAGCCTATGAAAGGTACCAGGGGCATCTCATGGGGCCCCTTACTGACCCAGGGCCCTCGGGCAGTGCCTGAGTTTCCAAATGGTCAGTCCGCCCCTGGGTGGAGGATTGGTTTAGTTCATATTTTCATTTCTTTCTGAAAAAGTGAACTAGCCCTTTAACCACTTCCTGCCCAGGCCAATTTTCAGCTTTCAGCATTATCACACTTTGAATGACAATTGCGCAGTCATGCAACACTGTACCTATATGAATTTGTTAGCATTTTTTTGAGACAGATAAAGCTTTATTTTAGTGGTATTTATTCAACCCTGGGATTTTTTACTTGTGGGGTGTGATGAAGAATTTTTTTTTTTTTTTTACACTGATTGCTTTTACACTTATAAAGGCTGTAAAAGCAATAATTTCTCCTTCTCTCTGGCTGCATTCTTACAGCCATTGAGAACTACTGAGTGAGCTGTGATTGGTCACAGCTTGTCACATGGTACAAGGCTGTTGTGAATAGCCTTGTACCATGTGACCTCTGATCATTCACAGATTTCACACGTAGTAAGCAATGATGTCACAAGTGACATCTTGCTTACTACTCTGCATATGATCACTGATTGGCCAATCAGTGATCACATGATCGGGACCTCACACAGAGGTCCCATCCGACAATTGGTGTTCCACTGTGTCCTGAGGACACAGCGGGCACCAGATCGCGATGCTGCGCGCTCCGAGGGAGCGCGCACAACTAGAAAATTCGGGTGCCATTTATGAATGGCAACCCGCCCCTAGAGTGATACCGTCCTGCCTTTTAAAAACAGTAGGCGGACAGCAAGTGGTTAAAGAAGATCTATACACTGATTAAAGTCAAAAGGGAAACTGCAGCACCTCATCCATAAAAAATGTATACCTAGAAAAGTAGGAGAAAACATCACTCCTTCAAAACAGGAATTTATAGGTGAAAGGTCATTCAAACACTACACAATTATTGAGATAAAATCATTGAAAATGTTTTTACAAATGTAGAATTTAAAAATCCACATAAGGAATTCATAAAAACAATGCAAGACATGATATTTAGTGGATCTAACATGTTAATAGTTCCAACCAATGGAATATACTATGTGATCAATTCCGACATGTTTCGCCCATTGGGCTTCCTCTGGGGATATAGTTGTATCACACTCTGGAGGTGGTTATTGACTATAATTTTTTAGTTCCTCCACAGTGTGATACAACTATATCCCCAGAGAAAGCCCAATGGGCGAAACATGTCGGGATTTATCACACAGTATATTCCATTGGTTGGAACTATTAACCTGTGAGATCTTCTAAATATCATGTCTTGCATGGTTTTTATTAATTCCTTATGTGTATTTTATTAATTCCTTATGTGGGTTTGGTGGGTAGGGGGTCTGGTGTTGGTCGATGTCAGTCTGTCTCTCCGCCAGGGGGGTGTCTGAGTTTTGTGTTGCCTAGGGCAGCAAAAATCCTAAATACACCACTGCCTGTTCCCATAATTTGAAGCCTCGGCAAGCTAAAAAAGCACTGTTACTGACATGCAGATTTTGACTTTTTATGAAGCCCTTTATGAGGCCCTCATCACTATCTCTAACCACTCCCTGGCCACTGATGTATGCAGAAAGCAGTGAAATAGTATGACCGTCACTGGAAATGTGTGATAGATATGTGGTGGCATCCAACAGGGATACAACCTGGTTTCATGGGAAAAATCAGAGCAGAGTGTTTGCTGATGCTGCACTTGGAGAATTGTTTATAAGCTAACTCATATTTGGCTTTTGGTTTTGGAGTTTTCTTTATACATTAAAGTGTTACTAAACCCATAACAATAAAATCAGTCTGTATATACAGCAGAGCATGCTTGTTATACTCCATTGTGTAACCTAAGGGGTTAATCGTCCACATTGTGTAAAAAGGCTGTTTGATCCTGTCTTATCAGATCCTCACCTTCTTCTATTGTCCCCAATGCTTCTGCTGATACTACAGAGCTCTAGGAGTCACTCTGCACATGCTCAGATTAGTGTGTATTGCTAGAGAGTTTTTTTTCTTTGGGAGGGTGCATGTGATTAGCCAAGGGCCAATCAGCACTGTCCAGACAGAGGGTCAGGGGTTATGAAGTCTCATAGGACAGTCAGAAGAGAAAAAAGCCTTAACCAGTGATCTGCTGGACACTGATAGAAGTCAAAAGATTGCTATGTGCTGCTGATGAGAAAAGGTATTTAGCAGTTTATATTTACTACAATAATTACATTTCCATGTTGTGTTTACTGTGGAGAGCAGATATAGTGAATCCAGGGTCCAGGGAGACCAGATATAGTGAATGCAGGGTCCGGGGGAGAGCGGATATAGTGAATGCAGGGTCCGGGGAGACCAGATATAGTGAATGCAGGGTCCGGGGAGACCAGATATAGTGAATGCAGGGTCCGGGGAGACCAGATATAGCGAATGCAGGGTCCGGGGAGACCAGATATAGCGAATGCAGGGTCTGGGGATACCAGATATAGTGAATGCAGGTCCGGGGAGACCAGATATAGTGAATGCAGGGTCCGGGGAGACCAGATATAGTGAATGCAGGGTCCGGGGAGACCAGATATAGCGAATGCAGGGTCCGGGGAGACCGGATATATAGTGAATGCAGGGTCTGGGGAGACCGGATATAGTGAATGGCAGGGACCGGATATAGTGAATGCAGGGTCCGGGGAGACCGGATTTAGTGAATGCAGGGTCTAGAGAGACCGGATTTAGTGAATGCAGGGTCCGGGGAGACGAGATAAAGTGGATGCAGGGTCTGGGGAGACCAGATTTAGTGAATGCAGGGTCCGTGGAGAGCAGATATAGTGAATGCGGGGTCCGGGGAGAGCGGATATAGTGAATGCAGGGTCCGGGGAGAGCGGATATAGTGAATGCAGGGTCCAGGGAGACCGGATATAGTGAATGCAGGGTCTGGGGAGAGTGGCTATAGTGAATGCAGGATCTGGGGAGAGCGGATATAGTGAATGCAGGGTCCGGGGAGAGCGGATATAGTGAATGCAGGGTCTGGGGAGAGCGGCTATAGTGAATGCAGGGTCTGGGGAGAGCGGCTATACTGAATGCAGGGTCTGGGGAGAGCGGATATAGTGAATGCAGGGTCTGGGGAGAGCGGCTATAGTGAATGCAGGGTCTGGGGAGAGCGGCTATAGTGAATGCAGGGTCTGGGGGGAGAGCGGCTATAGTGAATGCAGGGTCTGGGGAGAGCGGATATAGTGAATGCAGGGTCTGGGGAGAGTGGCTATAGTGAATGCAGGGTCTGGGGAGAGCAGATATAGTGAATGCAGGGTCCAGGGAGACCGGATATAGTGAATGCAGGGTCCGAGGTTTAGTAACACTTTAAGGCTCCATGCACACTCGCTAAAAAATGAGCTAGATGAGTTTAGCGTTTTACCTGTAGAAGCATCCAATGTCCATGCACATTAGGTAGTCTACGGGCATTTTTTAAGCTCAGCGTTTAGAGCGTTTTTCTGGCAGAGAAAAACACCAAACACTTATAACCACTAGTACAAAAAGCGTATTTTTCTGCCAAGAGAACTGACGTTTTATAAGCCAGTGTACATGGAGCCTAATAAAGGAAAGGGATGCTTTCAATTGCCCTGATATTTTCCTTCTCTACAAAGCTCCACTATAAAGCTGTACTGCCAATGCTGAATGGGCATTGTGCCTGCACTGTACATGTACTGTCACTTAGATAGTCATGTTACGTTTTGGTCAAGGCTGCAGCTTGGCACTTCAAAAGCCCATCTGCATAAGCACTGCAAGCATAATACCACAGAGTCTAAACATAGGGATGTGCAAATCAGGATAACAATAGACTGAAATGTCCTTTTATTTATAACATGCAAATTGTCTAGGGCCAATTTGCTATTTCACGCATTATTTTTCTTTCGTAATTCTAATAAAAGCGCAGAATGTGAATAGAGGCAACATGATTCTGGCCTAAAATAAAATGATTAGTATGCAGACACATGCATTATTGGGCCTTTTCAAAATTAACCACTGCAGAGTGCAAAGTGCAGTAACCTGCAGCATCCATCATTTTATTGGAGAAATGCTTGTAAAAAGTAACTTGAAATTTGCTGTTGGATACTGTATTTTTCTGGAAAGCAAATACATAGTTATATAGTTAGGTTGATAAAAGACACAAGTCCATCTAGTTTAACCAATAGAAAACAGAAACCCTCCAAATACACAATCCTATACACACAGCTGATCCAGAGGAAGACAAAAAAACACTATTATTATTATACAGTATTTATAAAGCGCCAATAGTTCGCTCAGCGCTGTACATTACAAAGGGGGACAGAACATGTGACAGAACAATACCAATACAATGCAAAACATGAGGGGATCGAGGGCCCTGCTCCTTGGAGCTTACAATCTAGGAGGGAGGGGATGGTGGTACAGGAGGAGATAGCTGTGGGGGATGGAGTGGTAGGAAGAGTGGAGGAGGTCGGCAAGTTAGCAGGGGGTGGGGTAGGCTTCCCTGAAGAGATGGGTTTTCAGGGTGCGCCTAAAGGAGAGGAGAGTAGGTGATAATCTGATGGGTTGGGGCAGGGAGTTCCAGAGGATGGGTGACACCCTGGAGAAGTCCTGGAGGCGGGCATGGGAGGAGGAGAACAGGGTCTATTATTATTATTATTATTATACAGTATTTATAAAGCGCCAATAGTTCGCTCAGCGCTGTACATTACAAAGGGGGACAGAACATGTGACAGAACAATACCAATACAATGCAAAACATGAGGGGATCGAGGGCCCTGCTCTTTCGAGCTTACAATCTAGGAGGGAGGGGGTGGTGGCACAGGAGGAGATAGCTGTGGGGGATGGAGTGGTAGGAAGAGTGGAGGAGGTCGGCAAGTTAGCAGGGGGTGGGGTAGGCTTCCCTGAAGAGATGGGTTTTCAGGGTGCGTCTAAAGGAGAGGAGAGTAGGTGATAATCTGATGGGTTGGGGCAGGGAGTTCCAGAGGATGGGTGACACCCTGGAGAAGTCCTGGAGGCGGGCATGGGAGGAGGAGACCAGGGAACTAGAGAGAAGGAGGTCTTGTGAGGAGCGGAGTGTGCGTGCCGGGCGGTACTTGGATATTAGGTCAGTGATGTAGTTCGGGGCAGTATGGTGGACGGCTTTGTACATCAGTGTTAGGATTTTGAATTTGATTCGTTGCGCAATCGGAAGCCAGTGGAGGGATTGGCAGAGGGGGGTGGCGGAGACAGAGCAGTTGGTAAAGGTGAATGAGTCTGGCAGCCGTATTCAGGATCGACTGAAGCGGGGATAGCCTGTGGTGAGGCAGGCCAGTGAGGAGGGAGTTGCAGTAGTCGAGTCGTGATATGATGAGGGAGTGGATGAGCTGTTTAGTGGTTTCTGGGGTTAGGAACGTGCGGGTTTTGGCGATGTTGCGGAGGTGGAGTCTGCATGAGTTTGTTAAAGATTGGACTTGGGGCTGGAAGGATAGGATGGAGTCCAGAATGACACCAAGTACTCTGGCCTGCAGGGCGGGTTTGATGGTAGCGTTGTTGGACGTGACGGAGAAATCAATGGGGGGTGGTGTCCGGGCTGGGGGGAAGACAAGAAACTCGGTTTTGGAGAGGTTCAATTTAAGGAAGTGGAGCGACATCCAGTCTGATATGTCGCTCATTAGGTGTGTGATTCGGGCTGAGACCAAGGGGGTGAGGTCTATAAAGCGTGATCCAAATTGCTCCAGCAGAGGAAAAATATATTCCTTCCTGATCCCCAAAACGGCATCAACAATCTCTGCTGTTATTACCCTATTAATGTTACTATCCAGCTATATATTGTTGATTTAGGAATACATCTCTACAGCTCTTTTTAAAACAAACTACTTAGCTGTCCAGAACTAATTCCTGAAGGAGTCTATTCCACATTTTCAATGCTCTTACTGTGAAGAAGCCTTTCTGTATGTGAAAGTTAAATCTCTTTTCTATATGAGTTGCAATTTAAACCTAGGTTCACACCTAGGTGGGTGAATTTGCGTGGGCACATCAGCACACTCATTTGACTGGGCTACTGTAACTCCGGGGAATGCAGGGAAAATGTCCCTGACCCTTTTTCCAAAATGCCCTCGCAGGGCAACTACACAAAATAGAATGCTGCTGCGGTCCATGCGGTTTCCCACACCTGAAAACATGCTGCGTTCTCCATTGCAGGGAAGTACCATTAAGAATTAATAGCACCCCCATGTGATGCACCTACCAAAGAGTAGCACGTTTAGTTTTCGGGTCAGAAACTGGTGTGATTATGCACTGGTTTCCAATGCACATTTGTGTGAACCTAGCATTATACTGCATTATTTTTGTTGCACTAGACATACACAATCTGCCACAGCTATATTATTTGTACTGTGGCTGCCATTGCTGACCACTCCTTTTGAAAATGCTGGTTGGCTGGCTGCTATACTGATCTATAGGGAACATCAACTTCCAGGATGGATGGCATCAAATCACCAGTAACTACACTTCAAGAATAATATATGCAAAAACAGAAAAAACAAATATGCTGGGTTTTTTCATTGTACTCAAAATACTGTATGTCTTGGTATGCTGACGCCTTAAGAGTTCCCTTCACTGGAACTAAGGGGCCAAGCTCAACCCCCGAAAAACAACCCCACACCATAATCCCCCCTCCACCAAACTTTACACTTGGTGCAATGCAGTCAGGCAAGTACCGTTCTCCTGCAACCGCCAAACCCAAACACGTCCACCAGATTTCCAGACAGAGAAGAATGATTCATCACTCCAAAGAACACATCTCCACTGTTCTAGTCCAGTGGTGGCGTGCTTTACACCACTGCATCCGACACTTAGCATTGCACTTGGTGATGTAAGGCTTGGATGCAGCTGCTCGGCCATGGGAAACCCATTCCATGAAGCTCTCTACACACTGTTGTTGTGCTCATCTGAAGGCCACATGACGTTTGGAGGTCTTTAGCTATTGACTCTGCAGACAGTTGGTGACTTCTACGCACTGTGCGCTTCAGCATGCGCTGACCCCGCTCTGTCATTTCACGTGGCCTACCACATCGTGGCTGAGTTGCTGTTGTTCCCAGTTGCTTCCATTTTGTTATAATACCACTAAGAGTTGAGCGTGGAATATTTAGTAGCAAGGAAATATCTTGGATGGACTTATTGCACAGGTGGCAACCTATCACGGTACCACGCTTGAATTCGATGAGCTCCTGAGAGCAATCCGTTCTTTCACAAATGTTTGAAGAAGCAGTCTCCATGCCTAGGGGCTTGATTTTATATGCCTGTGGCCATGGAGGTGATTGGAACACCTGAATCCAATGATTTGGAGGGCGGGCCCAATACTTTTGGCAATATAGTGTATGCTCAGCAATATACATTAAAATTGCAGAAGTCCTGCCTTTTTGGCATCTTTGTTTCAACAGATACATGAAAGACAATTATGCTTCTAGTTGACCTGTGAATAAGGCAGCCCATAGATGATTCGGCATTCTTTTCTTCCACCATGGGTCATTCACACTAACTGAAATTCTTCCCCCAGCACTATAATCTTCTGCCATCGGAGGGGGCAAGGGGAGACCTCCCTGGCAGGTAAAGTATGGCCTAAATCCAGCCATACATCGATTCAAATTCGATACCTCGATGGACTTGGGCACAGCCAGCCTGTCATATTTTTCTACATGCGATTACTGCCAGCCGCTATCATTATGTTTTGCCCACCGGCAATGTGGTCCCGCGCCCCAACATCCCCCTCCCCCTCGCTGGCAGAACACAATAGCACAATTCCCCCATTAACACTAAGTGACCCATTGTGAATCATCTATGGGCCGCTTATGTGTTTGTAGTTGTCTTTCGAACGGGCCATGTTGGAAGCAATTAATTGCAACACTGACGTAGAAAGCCATGATAAACATTTTACGTGTTTTATTGTAGGATTTTATTAGGATGTATAATAAATATTATAACTTTTAACAGGATATGCTGGTCTAAACATTTTAAGCACCATGAAAAGTCCCAGTATGCGTATGTTGGCTTTTCTTTTTCTACATATAATATTCTTGCGATGTAACTGTAGTATTGACACTAGACAGCCACACATATCTAGGAAGTGGTCAGCAAGACAGCCTCTATATTTGTCTCAGCACAAGTGTCTTCTAAAGTGACCCTGTCATGAAGTAAAGGTGTACCTGTAAAAAGTAAGTGTATACTTACTTTTCCTACTGCCTACACTGTCAGAATGCTTGTTCCTTCAGTGTAAATCTTCATCTGAAGGCTGGTGGATAACCAACACTTCCAGGAGTGTTGATCTCCTGTGTCCCCAGCAGCTCTCACTGGTTCCTCCTGCTGACCTCATTACAGGAGACAGCAATTACCTGGAGGAACAGGAGCAAAAGGAAATGGAAAACTGTAGTTACCCAGAAGTATTGGTGTCTTTGTGAACACCTTAACCCCTACCTTTTTTTCATTGCGTCAGACAGCACAGTAACTTGTTACAGGTGTGATAGGCCATGCCATGGAGGACAGCAGAGATGGGGGTGTAAAAGCCTAGCTGTTAGGTATGATTAGCAGGATGAAATCAGAGGTAGGTTGAGCAATTATGGGCTCTGTGGTTGAACAAGAAATTGTTGGGGTTAAGCCAGCCTTAGAAGGATTGATTTTCTTTCTTGCAACCAGGGGCTGCAGGGAAAGAAAAACACCCGATTCCCCCATCAACACAGTCAATGTTGATGGGGGAATCCCTCCTGCTGAGCCATTGTGTTCTTTTGGCATGGGGAGCTGTCCCCGCCAGGAGAAAACAGTGACTAGTGCTAGCAGCTGTAATAGCTGCTAGCAATAATCACATTTAAAATCTGACAGGCTGGTTGTACCCAAGTTGATCGATCGAACAACTTGGGTACATTCAGCCTGAAAATACATGGTTTGAATCTCGGCCGCTCCCTGCTTAACTGGCTGAGATTCGAACTGTCTACTGCCTGCTTTAGGGTTAGGTTATCTGTGCAAGGAACTTTGTGACCAATCATCTTAGAGAATGAGACATGCTGCAAATAGAATACTAATTTGTCTCTAAAGGTGATTTCTTTTTATACCTTTTTATATATGTAGCACCCTCCTATATAGCTAGGGGGAGCTAGTGCTCAATTGTTAGTCAGAGGCTGAGTAGCAGCCTGTGGTGATAGTCAGAGGGAGATCTAATTTCAGTCAGAGCTGAAAGGCTCTGTAGGCCAGTTCCCTGATACCTCCCCCTGCTCTAGAGATCTGGGAGAAGATTTTAGAAGCAGTGGGCAGGGGTGAGGCAGGACTGGCCTGTACACTTGGAGGACCTTGGACAATCCCTTACCCCATCCAAGTTCAATTGCCCTAATAAAAATCCAAAAAAACAAGCTCAAAGACTGGTTACTGTCTCCTGAATGCAAGTCTGTGGAAAAATGCGTGTTGCCTTGCTGTATATGTTTATAGAGGGACCCAAAACTCAGCAACTCCAATGGGGGTAGTGCTACATATACATAATAATAATGGTAATAAAATTAGACTTCAGTATTTTACCTTTCATCACAGTTTACAGTGTTTTGTTCTTGTACATTATTCTCAATCAATTCTTGACTTAGTTTTCCAGGAGTATCTGCCCCAACGTAATTTGGTTTGTGGTTGTCACCAACAAGAGTCTTTGAGTTATGATTATATAGGTTTTCTATTGGGTCAGGTCTTGGGTTATCCATCTTCTGATCATTCTCAACATTGTGTACATCGGTTGCACATAGGTTTGAACTTTGTGTTTTTGTTATTGCTCTCTTGGCTGCCAACACAGATGGAACTACTATAATATCATTGGCTTCATCATCTAAAAGGTCACTTGCTGACTGTGACATCATGGTGGGTGGCACGGCCTTGCTTTTCTCTTTCTTGGACTTGGTTTTCTTTTTGGATCTAGGCATTGTTCCCATGTGGCTGTACATGTCACTAGACCGAGCATAGGTCGGACTCCTGGGTATGGCAGTGAGGTCATCCTGAGTCTTCTCCAAGATATTGTCCAAGCTGACGTTAGTGCTTAGATTTGTATCTTGAGATTCCCGTCTACGGAAAGCCCTGGGAAGGTTACTCAGGCTTCCAAACACACGTAATTTAAATAGTTCTGTGAATGACATAACAACAGTTGAGTTATAAGGGTAGCTTACAAATGTTCTCGGCATTAGGTTTAGAAAAACATCACCATATACACAAATAAAATAAATAATTTTTTTATTGGTTCCCCTTGTGTGTATTGCCGCTTGTCTCTAATAGTTCGTATCTTTTTACTTCCCATACCTATATAGCATCAACATCAAGTATTAAGAACAATTCACACCAGTCATATTTAAATTAAACAAGACGTAACAAACTCATCTTTGTATAGCCATAGGATGGGAACAGTGATGGCTTGATTTGTCTGACCACTGCAGATACTGCTAAGTAGATACATTTCGTGGGGAAAAAAAATCAATTTTCCTGAAAGGTCAGCAGAGGTATTGGCTCCCTGCACAAGCATGCCAAAATGACACCACTGTACGTGATTACCCACATAAGTCACAGATTACAGTAGCTCTCCAGAATGCATTAAAACAGAACTCCAACTAAAAGCATAAAGATACAAATGACAAGCCCATTAGAAGATAAAATACCAAAGTCAGCTACAGTATCTTTCTGCTGCTAGATTTCCTTGGTTTAACAGTCAGCATCATTCAACCCACCTTCTTCGAACCCAGTCATCCTAGACCCACCCCAGCCTGTGACTGGACAGTGAAAGAGAAGCAGCACAGTGATGGGCTAATTTCTTTGTTAGCACATGAACTGATTGGCTCCTTGTGCTGCTTCTTCCTCTCATACTCCAGCTTTGCTGCAAGTGGTTAATACCAGGTCATATTTAGGTACCTACACAGATGTATTAATGAGAAGACTGAAAGAAGCAGAGACTGTGCACATGAGCTGTTGAGGGAGAAACAAAAATTTTGCACCTCAGCTGTTGAGGGGTGGGGGGGGGGGAGCAAAGATTGTGCACATCAGCTGTGGGCAGGGTAAAATATTGTAGTGGGCCACAGTTTGGAGACCCCTGCTTTAAATAAAAAAAACTTACAAAATACAGTATATAAAATCTATAGAAATATTTTACCAACAGATAATGTATTACTTTGGTTGCATCTTTTGATAAATACTAAAACCTGTAATGTACACAGCGTTCTACAAGGTGCTGATAAGTACATTGGTGTTAAATAATATGAGAAATAGCATAGTATCCTTCCTTTTTTACAGAACACGCATGCATGTGTACATGTTAACCCCCCGGCCAACTCTCTCATCTACTGTCATTCTCAATGACAATATCTGCCCATCTATAGGCAGGCTTAGGTCCCTAAAGATGTGCGGTAAAACACAAACAAAAGGACAGTTCTACGTACAGAACTGCAAAATGAATCTTTCATAAGCTTCCTGCCTTAAAAGGGTTTTGGTCACATGAGACTAAGTCCACCATAAAAAAGATGATTATCTCCTTGTGATGACAGACCACAAAGTCTGTTGTAGACCGCTGAGGAAGAGGAATATATCACAACATCTCTAATACATAGATAACAGTGTCTCTGTGCTTGACTTCAGCATTCATGTGCATTCACCTTTAAGGCAGTCTAAAGTTGTCTATAGACTAATAGAATTTTGTTTGAAATTTTTAGTTCTAAGAAGGTAAGTTCAATTTTCTAGTAGTTATTGTGGCCAAATCAACATTAATTTTTGACTGCAGAGACAAGAAAATTGGAAGGGATAGGAAGGTAAGTTTTTTTTCTTGAACAAATTAATTTCTAACAGTGTATTAGGTTTTCATTCGGGAAATTACATTAAAATGGACTTCCACCTGAAGAGAAAAAAAAAAAAAAAGAGGGCAGCTACAAAAAATGTAGCTGCTGACTTTTAAAATACAGACACTCACCTGTCCCTCGGTCCAGCGGTGTCCTCACTGCTGGTTTCACCAGCCATCTTCTATCCCTGGCGCCGGCATCTTCAGTGTGGGCACCCGGCTGCGACAGCTTGCCGCTTCACAACCGGGTGCCCACTGCGCATGCGCAAGTAGTGCTGTACTTTGTGAATGGCCCCGTAGTCATCTGGGACATGTCACGTGTCCCAGAAGACTACAGGGAGGGAGGGGAGGAGGACAACTTCTGCTTCCAATCACCTAGGCAATCACGGAGGAAGTGGGAGCTGGTACCTGTCAAATTCGGGTACCCGCCCCCCAAAG